ACGATTTCACTTCTGTATCACCAGCATGTGATGTTGAAACCTACGCTACAACACAGATGATGTTTTAGGAAATGAGTGGTTTGATGTTTTTGGGTTTATGCTTATGATGATTGATAACCATATATATATATAAAACAAGATCCAGGTGGTGATTAGCCTAGCTTAGCATATGAAAAGAGGGAAACGGCTAGATTAGCTCTCTCCATAGTTCAAAAGTCCAAATACCAACACATCTAAAGCTCAGTAAATAACACTTGTGTATTTAACAGGCAAACAACAAGGTCAAAGGGATCATGTGTGGTTTTAATGGAATTTTCTCTGGTTTGGTTTGTGTATCGATAAAACAAACAACACACAGCGAGGTCATTTGTGAGCCTCAGAGATGCTATGTGTCGGACAGAGCCAGGCTACTTATTTCCTCATGCTTCCAGGCCTTATGCTAAGCTAGGCTCCAGGTTCTAGCTCTGCATTTGTTGCATAGACATGAAAGTGGTGTTGATCAAGTCCTCTAAGTGTATCTCACCACACAATAAATAAACTGTCATGCAGTGACTTGGTTACGGAAACTTTTTGGTAAAGTCGTTTTTGTCTTTCTATGTCAGCCAAATATACAGTTTGGATTCCAGTCGATTTGACTTAAGAGTAACTGGATGGGGACTTGGGTAATTAGGCATCGTTTAGGAAACGTGAAATGTTCACAGTTATTTTCTTGAACCAACCAGCGAAGAGTGAACATTTCTGTTTCCTTCTAGAGATCTCAACATATAATCTCTTTCAGCACAACTGAGGATAATCAAATGAAAAGAAACCAGAGATAAAAGCAGCTCTCTGGCAGATTACAGGAATGAAAGCAGAACAAACTATTATGCTCATAAATACTTTCAATTCATTCACTATATGAGGCAGTTTTGGTAATTTCCTAAGGTATCTGTGAGTTTGTGAGATACAAACAAATGCCAGAGACTCTCAGCACCACTGGAAAGACTATCAATGTCTAATCGGCTTGTTACCATCTGTTATCAAAAACTGAATCAGCGTGTTTAGCTCTGTGTTGCATGACAGCAGCAGCGACGCTGACTCTGTCACTGCCGTCTTTGATAAACAAGTTGACAAGTGTAATAATGTAACTGGAGCTAATGGGATATTTAATCAGATGTCAGCAGAATAAAAGGCCATGCTGGGGCAGTCTGTCTCCAAAGTGTTTCAGAATAGAGCCACAGATTGACATCGCGTATACTGTACATGAGCTGTTGCATGATTTCAACATATGACATGAAACACGGTGGGATGGATCTGATGTTTCCCATGACGTCACCAATGTTTTTAGACTTTTTACAGCATATTATTGTATAATTATGTATATTGTACCGCTGCTTGTAATCAAAAATAAAGAGCATTGTGTGAAATTAACAAGAACCATATAGTAACATCACCGTTTCACTATAAAACAAAACAACATCGAACATCATTGAACTGACCAAGCAACACTGTGGATCGACGACTGAGGTCTGACAGAAACACATTGTGGGATTTGTTTGTTAATTGGCTCATTGGGAAACTGTTAATTTGGCTTCATGACTTCAAATTAAAATAAATATAGAACTTTAAAAGGCATTTTTGTCAAACTAGTTCACATTTATTTTCAGGCTTTCAGATGAAGAACTATTTCAGAGTCCATTCTAAAGAAACTGTTTGACATTCATGGAAATATTTTTACTCTCATGTTTGTGTGATGAATATGAAGCTACATCCAGTGGCCGGTTAGCTTAGTTTGGCACTGGAAACAGGGGGAAATTGTTAGCTTAGCTTCATTGAAAAGCAACAAACTCAATCTACCAGCACCACTACAGCTAAATATTAAATATGTTAGACAATATTCAAATGACGGGTGAGCCAGTGGAAGGATTAGCTCGTCCAAAATAGACCTGGTGACAAAATCTTGAGTTTGAAAATCTGATAAATAACCACTGATATTTCCAAAGATTACATAATTGATGAAAAGCCTAAGTTTAGTTAAAATGTAATGTGAGGAAGTTTAAATGCTGAGGTAATAGCAGCTGACTTTATCTCCGCTCACTGACACCTGTAGTGTGACTGTTCAGGACAATGCCAGGTATTTTCTAATCATGATTCATCGCTTGCTTCCCTGTGTTGTTTTGTATAATTATTGTGTGAGTAGGGGTCAGCTCAGTGATTTTCAGTGACTGGCTACTGGAGCACATCTCCTGACTACAAATTAGTTCAGCAGGCTTTCATCTACACAGCCATTTTTACATGTAATGACAAATGAATTATGAAGCAAATTAGTTACGGATCTAGACAGAGCTTACTCTCATGTGACAAGTTAATGGGAACCACAGCGTATTAGGGCCGTACAGGAGGTTTTGAGAATAATGTCAAAATATTACGAGAAAAAAAGAAAGTTGTAATATTATGAAAATTAAGTCATAATATTACAAGTCATAAAGTAACTGAACCAGAGAAAAGTAATAATATTTCATGAAAAAGAAAAAAAATGGAAATTAGCAGCGAGAGTTCTACTCCTTCTGGATCCAAAATCTTGAACTACAAAACAATTCATTATTTGTGAAAGTGTCACTTAACAAGATGCTCCACATTCCTCATTTTAACTCAGGCAACAGACCAATCTTCTGATGTTTCCCCTCTAACATGACATATAGCCTTAAAAAGCTCCATTATTCCTGGACTACAAAAATGTTACAAATACTGCCATGCAGTACAAACCTGTAAAATTAGAATGTAAAATTAAAATTACAACTTTTTAGTTGGCATAAAGAGATTATTTGTTTCCTTCAGAAAAATTAACGCTAACTGTTTCCCCAGTTTCCAGTCTTTGTTAAGCTATGCTAATCAGCATGTTTGTTCTAGCACACAGTCATGAGAGTGGTATCAGTCTTCTTATCTAACTCTGCAAGAAAGCAAATAAATAGCAAATAAATGTCAGACTATTCCTTTAGGTTTTAAGTAACATGATATTCTTGTTACCTGCTTCAGACTCTTATGTTTCATGTTGTGCATTTAAAGCGGCACTGTATCCTCAGATGATGTCGAACATTCACACTGTAAGTGACAGGAAATACACTTGACTGTTTTTTCTTCTTCTTTTTCATTATGGACACAAGTAGTTCTTGGTCTGAAGCTATCGTTTATTGCATGCGATGGTTTTAAGTCTTCAGGCATTTCACACAAACCCATACTTGCTCAAATCCTCAAGAGAAAAATAAAACAGCAAGTGATGCAAATTTGACACGTTAAATCACACATTGTTCTTAAAGCCAAACCCTGGTGTCGTCATAAACGCCAGTAAAAAGCTTATGGAAACATTTGATTTTACGAAAAACAATCTCATATTTATACCAATATGGTATGGAAAATCATTTAGATTCATTCTTTGTTCATAAATAAATAGAGCAATTCCCACTGGACACAAATAGAGGCACTTGAGTTTCTTTTTTTTTTGTCAAAGTGAAAATTACTTTTCACATCCGCATTGTCTTCCATACACATTCAGCGATGGTCAAATGATCCAAAACTTAAAAACTCATGCTTGATGTGCTGGATTTACAGAGACCAACAAAAAAATCCAGTTTTTAAAGCACATGTGAACACAGAAGAGAAACCACATGGAAACAGTGTGGTCGCCTTTTGATTTCATGTGCCACTGAGAGTTAAAAATCTGATTGTGTTTGGTGCTGTGAAAATGCAGCCATAGCCTGTGCATGGACACACATGCGCACACACACACACACACYRGRYRATYRYCACACACACACACGCACACGTGCATATGCACATATGCACACACACACACGCACACACACGCGCACACACACACGTGCATATGCACACACACACACGCACACGCACGCACACACACACACACACACACCCTATTTTTCTCTCTCGCTTCCTCATTCATTATGAAATCATTCACAAGACACTATAAAACAAGAACAGACACTGTTTTCAGGAATCACAGCCTGTACATTATGATACACACACATCATTATTGTCCAGTCAGGTAATGACTTAAATACACCTGACAATCAGCTGTACATGTTTACACACTAACAACACGATACGACAAATGGGGGGAAACGACTACAGGACGTCAGGTGGATGATTTGATCTCATTAAGTGAGTCTTTTTTGACATCAGGGCAGAGAAGCTGCTGTGAGATTACTTGATTTGCACATGACTGGGGGTCTAATTAGAAGCAAATCAGACCGAATCTTGTAGTTTTCTCCCCCTAAGTATTTGACACTGTAGTGGGTGGGTTACTATGGGAACTAGAGCTGGTTGGAGTTTCACAAAAGCCCATAACTAGTGAGAGAAGAACCAGACGGCTGAAGTGAGTGCTTGTTCTGCGGAGCTATTATCTGCCTGGACTGTGCTTGACCAGGTCCTGAGCTCCTCACTCCAGCCACACACATCTTCAGGTGGAGGTTAACTCGAGTCGATTGTACAGAGAGGCTCTGACACCTGAGAGCTTCTACTTAAACAAACCATGGATCCAGGTCACGTAGGCTACAGTAAGAGTCGCTTCATAGCTAATGGATAAACTAAAGATACCCCGATAAACGTACTCGTAGATGTATTATAAAATGTTGTCATTTAAAAATGTTAGTGTCACAGCCCTAAACCACAGAGATATCTAAAATAAAGGGCAGGGCGACGTAGCAAGCCTCAGCAGCTGAAATGTGTTTGTACTAAAAACTTGATCAAATTCCTGATTACAATTTTTAGACTTATTCATTTACGAAATAAATCTTGTTATGTGACACATCTGACAACTTTGACCTTATTGTTAAAAACAGTGTTTTTCAGAAAAAGATCTTTATATTTCTTTATCAATTGTTTTTTATTGTACTTACTAATTACCAGTTATCAGTATCAGGTATCATATTTATAAATAAATTAAATATAAAAGATTTTCAGACAATAACTACAAATATTAATACTCAGTCAAGGGCAAATAAATAAATAATTAAATAATACAGAATTGTGAATCAGATCGCAACCAACTTTAATTATTTTTCCTGGTTGATTTGCGACACCTGTGGTTACTGGTAGTAAGTTGAATTGGATTTTCCAAAGTTTTTCCAGTATGTGCATGGTTTCCTGTAAATGCATGTGCACGTCATTTGAAACCAGTGCAGGAGTGACAAACCCCACGACACACAATTCAATTCAAACTAATATATAAAAAGATCAATTGATGGTTCACCAATCAAACACTGAGTTGGATATTATGTCAATCTTCAGGATTTTATCTTGAGAAGTGAAATTTGACTAACCTCATTCTTCAGACGCCATTTAGTATCCCTGTGTCTGATTAAGTCAAGTCACCCAAGGAATAGAAACAGCTTCAGGTTTTAGAGGATCTGCCACTAAACACTGAAGATGGACTGAAAAGGAAGCTGATGACTGACTTCAGCCTCCATTAATTCAGCTCTAGTGGTTGAACCTGAGCCTCTTTCCTCCACCAGTATGGTTCTTATCTAAAAGATTGGACCGGTACTTTCCCACCTGGATCGATATCAGCCAGAGACTTTAATTGTAGTCTCTGTCACGGGAACGTTTCTAGGCCACTGCTGCGGGAGCTGAGCCTCTGTTGAGCTGCTTTCTTACTTTAATCACATCAGCCTCTCACACATCTTTTTAAATGATGCTGTCATAGTAAAAACACCTTTTCCTCTTTGTTTCCTCTCTGGTTCTTTCTGCTCTTCAGGGACACAGGAATCCGTAACATGTATTGTTCCTATAGGAATATAAGCTCTTTTCACTGATATATTACTCTCTCCCAAAACATAAATTCAAATTTTAAATCATGTATTTTGTATTCTGTGATCCACAGTGGAAATTCCTGATCTTAGTTACTGCTCAGTCCAAACTGCAGGTGAAATTCAGCCTGATTAATCCACCCAGTCTGTGCTGTTACATTACCGTGGTCATTTGAAGAATCCCAGTGGGAACTGAAGCAGCGTCCTGAGTCTCATCTCACTTGTTATCCCAGTTCTTGCTGCCAGGCCCATTTCTTTTCTTGTTTTTCCCCCTCTGTAATGTAGTCTCTGTTCCATCTCTACAGCAGACGACCCTCTATGCGGAGCCAGTGCAGTCCCTGCCTGATGTATCGGACCAGCTCAGTCATGCTGCTCTGCTGACTCAGTGGCTCCATGACCGAGTCCAGCTCCTGGAAGAAATCTGCAGGAGGGTGAGGGAGACACACAGTTACTGAGGATGACCGTGAGGAAGGTTTCCTGGTAGCACCGTGGGAATCAGTACAAGGAGGAGAGTCACTGTCAAACCTGGCTTATTGAACTTTACACAATCATGTCTGCCTTTCTGTTGAGTAGTAATCTGATGAATGAAAGGAATTCAAATAACTTTAATTCTGTTCAATCTGGCAACAATTCTTTAGAAATAAACACATGGAAGTTGACATCTTATAATGTAGAAGACATCATGTGTCTGAAGTCCTACCTTGGCTATCAGTGGCCAGTCTGTCAGCCGTCTCCCAGTGTTCATAGCTCCGCAGGATGTTGTTGGTGATGTTAACATGACTGGCAGCCATGTGGTGAATGCGTTGGGGAATAGCCACACTGCCCAGTGAACTTGGGGCACTTCCAGATCCTCCCCCTCCGCTGCTGGCTGGGGAGGGGCTGAGTGAGAGTGGAGACGGAGTCCCATTGACCCTGGAACACACACAGAGGCAGTGAGGTCTCGTAACATCACAGGAAAGTCAACCGACTTTAATACATACAAGGAAGAATGTGTGTATTGTTAGTGAGGTGCTTCGGCGCATAGTTTCCAAATAGACTTAGAAGCATCAAATATGCGTCTGCTGAATAAAGAGCTTCTGAGCCCTGCTGCACTTTAAGCTGCTTTAAAGCACAAAACAGTAAATGCAGTCTTTTCATTAACACACACAGAAGTGTAAGTGGATCAGGATAAGAGAGCACTGGCTACAGAATATAACTGTATCCTCTTCAGTAAATTACAAAGTAAAATATGTTACAGAAAGAGACAAGGGATAACAAACACTTTGTTTCCAACAAAGTATAACAATTTTGAAAGCAACAAAAAAATGAGTTGACAAGCTATTTTATCAGAGCACAATGTGACTAAACAGTAAACTTGAGGGTCTTTAAAACCAAAGAAAGATGAAACACTTATTAAAGCTGAGGGGAAATGCAGAGTAATTTCAAAGTCTGACCAATTCTTGGGGTCGATGGCGATACAAACATTAGGGAGTAGAAGATTTCCATTAGTGATACTAAATTGACTGATATATATATATAGTATATATATATATATATATATTATCATATAAAGAACTTGGCAGTAATATTCTGTTACCTATAGTCATTTAAAACATTGTCAATAGTAATGTAGAGTGTACAGAGAAGTGCAACTTTAACTTTGTGGAATATTGAAACTAAAAATACTGCAGGTACATGAGACAGAGGAGACTAGTGTAATTTAATGAACAACCACACAGAGTTCCAATGTTAATGCTGCACATTAATAATGGTGGACATAAGTCAGACACAATAACAGTCTTGTTTTAGCTGTGACTTTGCAGAGAGCTCTAACAAACACAACACCAGAGTTATCATTTATGTCCTTAAGGCAATAAAAAGTGCTGGATGTAAGAGTGGCAGCTCTGAGCTTCACTGTGCCGCGTCACCAGTCCAGGCCGTACAAAGTGCTCCTTCTCCCTCATCCTGCACAGCTGGGTGTGTTGCTCTGGCAGTGATGTAACGTCTATGATGTGGCCTTGACCCTCACTGACCTGACGACTTGTGCCTGGTTCAGAGCTGCGCACGCACGCACACACGCACGCACACACACACGCACACACACACACACACACACCCACACACACACACAGACACACTCTGAGCTCCAGTCCTGCTGTTGTGCAGTGTCAGAGCTGTCCAAACTCATTAGCTTCACATCCACAGCTCCTCCATGCCTCTCCTCCTACATCTATCATCACTCCCTCCGTCACTCCATTTCACGCAGCACTCACCAGCCCCTCCAGTCTTCTCCTCCTCACATCTACAACAAATCAATCCCTCTACTTGCTTCCTGGGGGGTTTGTTTGAGCAAGTGGCTGTCAGGGATGGCATGGTATTTTGCAGCAGAGCTCAGGTAAATTATAAATTCTCAATTATCTACAGTACATGAATGAAGAGGGATGGATCATTTGTGTGTGTGTGTACTCACTTTCCATTGGTCCTCCACGGAGAGGGTGCTTGGTGGGAACTCTTTGCTGAATTCTGGGTCGCAAAAACAAAGATTAATCAAATAATGTTTTTCATGACCTGAAGAAAGAGAATAACATGCACAATAACACCAGAAATCTAAATTTTCATTTAAAACTATTTTTTATTAAGTAAGAGAAGAGGATGGATCAGTTTCACATCTATCTAAAACTACAGTAACAGATGGTTCACTCAACAGCATAAACAAATGGGGAAAACAGCTACTCTGTCTACAGCCAACTCTAGCTATTGAATGATTGTGTTATATTTATCTATTATCTATTATATATATCATTTGTTTAATCTGTCTTGGGTCCTTTTCTTGCAAACAATGACAGTCAACATTTCTATTCCCGATTAACTTAGTAGGAAAATAAAGTAACAAAGCTCAATTAACTAATTAGGAACTAATTAATACCATAGTTTTGTTATCATACAATTAGCTATGATTTTAAAATGACCAATATTTGTTTCTTTCCTTGTGCACCAATACATTTATTTTGGATTCAAATGCTTAATTTCATCAATAACATGACAAACTATTATAGACTCTAGCATCAGCTATGATGGGAAGAATATTACTGCTAGTCTTAGTCTTGACGAGCATTTAGAATCCACTTTAATGTGTCATGTGGATATGTATATATTAGAGAACTGGTTGGACTTTTTTTGTGCCCTTTTCCCGCTTAGACTAATTTCAGTAATTTCTTTTCTTTCTGTCAACACATTCTGTATGTACACAGGCTGCGCACACATTCACAGCTAAACCCCCAGTCAGCCGCTTCCCAGAAATCCAATCCCATCAATGCAAATGCGGCACTGTGATAATGACATCCTCAGTAATTAATTTAACTAAACATAATTAATCAAAACAAGCACATTAAACCCTAACAATCCACTGCGATGATTGATGGAGCTAATTAATACATTAATATCAAAGAGAAAGAATGGATTTTAATAACATCATGCAAAATTAATGCACAGGCACCATGAAAATGAATATGAAATGTATTTGAGTGGTGTAATTGGCTTTGCATGTTTCTTAACCACAGAGGGAGAAAAGGAGAGAGAGGAAATTAATAAAGACTATGTCCAAGTGTATGTGTGTGTAAGTGGTGTGTGTGTGTGTGTGTGTGTGTGCGCGCGTGTGTGTAATCAATGTGTGTCTTACCTTGAAGTACTCCATGAGCGACCGCGAGTACTTGACAGCGTGGTCTTTCTTCAGATGGAACATCCTCAGATACAGCAGAGACAGACAGCGGTTACTATGGAAACAAAACCATTAGAAGGCAGATGAATCCTCTGCACGAATTCCCTTTAAAGCTCCATCCTCAATATTATTTTCATGTCATCCACACAGGATACACCTGGACTTCAAACACGTTCCACAAGCCTGTGGAATAGGAAGAAGTTGAGTCAAGGTAACAATGTGACAAATGTAAGTGACCAAAATGCTATTTTAAAATCCCACAAATTTGCTTTGTAAAAACAATTCCATGAAAGTTTTTTTTTTATGTTGACTGTGAGTAAGAAAAAAGAGACACAGGTTTACTGGATTTATCAGACTGAGGGGGGTTCACACTTAAACTATTCTATAATTAAAATCTTAAGGGATGTTGTATTGGTTATATTAAGTATATTCACATTTATCAGAACCACTTATATGAATAGATTTTTACGTGGCATGAAATGGTAATTCTGGGGATTTTATGACATTCACCAATATCCTATTATTTACATTTTTAGACCTCTACACCGGTGACAGCCAGTGACAGGAGGCATGTTTTAGGGTTGTTCGTCCCATTCTGGTGAAAACATATCTTAAGAACACCTGGAGAAAATGTCTTTAAATTTGGCAGATACATTCAGTTTCATTCCAAGATGATGGTCATAAAGGTCATGGGTTAAGTTGCTGTGACCTCATAAAGCAGATTATCACCTTGTGAACATGATATCTCAGGAGCCCCTTGAGGGAATTTCTTCAAATTTGGCACAAATGTTAACTTAGAGTCATAAATTAACTGATTTGATTGTGGTGGTCTCTATGCCTATTGGTAAGCCCATGATATCCATGACTGTCACATCCCCTTGACTTCTTTTGTCAGGGACCACTTTTTAGCTTAAGATTTCATGTAAAACTAATAAACATTTTATAATATTTTCCAGTTCTGTTACACGGCTACTGGCACAGTTAGGTTTGACTCAGTTTCTTCTTCTTTTTTCTGGAGATTGTTCACACATACAGCACAGCAGGTATTCTTAGTAAAGATTTGGTAGTGAGGATTATGTAAACATGAACAAAATTCCATGAATGCACACTCCTTATGAGTAGGTGGTATTCATCAGGCTGAGGCAAGTGATTTCTGACAGGTTTTTGCAGATTAGAGAGTTAAGTGAATCTGACTGGGAACAGTTGTACAAGTAAATGTTTCAAGAGAAAAGTGTATATTTACATATTTACAAGAGTAAATCGAGGGATTTAGTATTTCTCCTCTAGAATGTGTATCTGGTTACATTTTGAGAATCATGTACTGAAGAGAATACAAGTTTTGAGTCTACATATTATATCAAATAAAGAAAATATAACCTGTAGAGAGATTACAGACGAGAGAGAAGGAATTTTTGGTGTCTGGTCCTAATATTCTGTGAGGTAGTAATAACTCATAAGCATTTAGGGCCCTGAACCGTATGTTTTTTACACACATGCACAGTGCACAGTGCACAAACACACACACACACACACGGCAAGAGAATCCTACCACAACACGACGAGTTTCTTCTCAGCAACAGTAGCTGAATGGCTGCTGAAGTTCTTCAACCTCATGGCGTACCTGTGAGAGATGCTCATTACTCTTCTGCTGACATTTGCAGTGATTTATGAGAGTCAAACATAAACACACTTTATTTTCATCGTGATGGTGAATGCATGTATTCTCAAGGTTTACTTTAATTAGAAAATCAAGGTCAAAATCATCCAAGGAGCTGCTCTTTCTGAACATAAACATACATATAATGGTGATATGGCTGTTTGTGATTAATTTCATTAGCTCACTGACAGCTAGGTAGGCACTGTGTTGAAGTGCCCTCGGGCAAGGCAGGCTACCAGACAGCTTTATGTGACTCTGTGGACTGATTCACTTCTCCTCTGGTTATTTATGAGTTATACTGTGGGGAATTCTTTGGCTCATTGGAATCCACGATGAATCTAAATACATCTCAGAGAAACATTCTTACTTATTGCCTCATCACAGCCAAATTAAATTAAATTAAAATAAAGTAATATCTAAAGGAAGAACTACTAAGATTCAACGATTTAATTAACACCAAACATTTTGAATATTTACAGTGAGAAATAAACTGTCTCCGACTGACAGCCTCTTGTTACTTTAAAGCTCAAGTGACAATTAACATCTTACACCTTTGTAATATTTCACAGTGTTGTGTAAAGGTGACAGTTTCCGAGTGAGGTCTGTGTGTGTTAGATTGACGAAGATGACAGACTCCTTTCTGCCTCCTCCCACCTTTGGTTCCTTTCTCTTTTTGCTTTTGTTTACTATCGTTCCTTTTTCTTTCTTTTTTAAGTTCTGATTGAACATCAAGCAAATACCTGTATTATACATCATCAGGGGGGTTTTCTACTCTCTTTATTCAAGAGCATGTTCTTACAGACCTACTCAAATCCTTGCACTCTCACTGTGCTTATATTTGATGGGCTTTTTCTCCACTTAATTTTTGTCCAACAAATCTGTCAAAATTACCCAACCAATAAAATGCCAGATGTAGTGTTGACAAATGACATTATCCTGCCCTCGTCGTGGCTGTGTTAGCTTTATGTCTTCGAGAATCCTATACGGGCGGTTACTTTTACTGGGTTCATGCACTCCTGTCCTCCACAGATTTATTATTACACCGGCTCCCTGTCGGCGTGCTTGAAGAAAAAACAACGACACCTTCATGAAGCAGGAGTCCAGCTGTTCACTGGTCAACATGAAGCAGCAAAATCAAGGATGTCCACAAGTTTTTTCATGTCATTAGAACACTAGTGCTAGCAAATATGAATACAAAATAGATGCCGTCTCTTTTTTCTTCCTGTATTTTGTAGGATCAGTACAAACAGCATAAGTAACCATGAGGGTGGGACTATTTCATCTGTCCACAGTTCATCTGGCATTCTATTGGTTGGGGAATTTTGAAAATGATGCACAAAAAAATCAGAGAGCAGAGAAACCCAAGACCAGCGCAGGAAATCTGTCTACAGAACAACAAAGGTCTGAGTGAAAGCACACTGAGCATAAGCAGCAGCACATCGAAGCACAAGCAGAAGCTATTTCAGTGCAGGCGCCAGAGTGTCATTGCCATTTGTTTGTGAGCTAAACTGCTCAATAAAAATCACTTTGAAATAAATATAAAATCAGTGGAGGAGAGTTGGGCCCCCCTGTTCTCAGTGACCTGATAAGGCCTCTCCAACTGCTTATCAAGGTAGAGAATCAGTCACACTGAAATCCAACAGTGACAAGTGATTCAGCAGAGAGGAGTTACACCTTTATCCTTTATCGATGTCTGTAGGAAAAGTCTTGTCTTTTTCCCACAGGTAGGTCAGAGGTCAGAGTCACATATCAGCAGGACTGCGGGCGGGAACGATTCAGTGTCTTGCTCAAGGACACTTCAGCAGGATGGATGAGAGCAGGGAAGTGGAGCTTGAACCATAGTCCTTCAGTTAAAAGACTCTCTCCCACAACACCTCCCTGCTGTCACCCTGTCTGCTTTCAGAGGTGGCAGTCATTTGTTATTCTGAGTTTGCTCTCTTTCAGTTACACTTCACACAGTGGCAGCTCCTGGAGCAGCAGAGTTACACTGCGCTCATCAGCAACACTGCAGGTCTGTGAGGCTTTCGACAATAAAGACAATAATATGTTATTTGTTAATCCATACGTTTCTGAATATGTCTCTGGCTTCTGTTCATTAGGGTTTAGTTTTAATTTGTTATTTACCGTGAGCACAGAGGTGACCTCACACACCAGCAGAATAAAATGAATATGAGTAAAGGTAAAACTACAGCAGGTCATCTTTAACAAATGATTTCCAAAACAGTTTTTCTGTTGTGTCTTAGAAGATATTTCAAGATTTGACATTTCCTGAAAAAAACAGAAGAGGACAATCCTGTGATGACAGAGAGTCAAGTTCAGGTCATGTCTAAACACATGGTAACGTTATCATCAATTACTGCATGCCATGCATTCTTACTGTGTAGTTCAATAAGAAGTGGTTATAGCTGTGAAACATTTTGTTCTGCATTCAGATAAGGGTGTGCAGTATTGTTAAAAGTAGTTAGATAAACATCATGGACATCTTGAAGCAGAGTTTGTGCACTATCACCATGTGTCATCATCTGAAAAACTCTGGAATTAGTGAAAAGTAAAGTAAACTCATTGAATTTCCATTTTTTCTAATAATTTGTACCAAATTGCACAACGCAAATCATGTCAGCTATACAACTTCCAATGTGGAAAATGATTTGGAAATAAAGCGATCACTATCTACTTCCATTTCATTTAACTATGATACTTTTCCCGTCTGTCCATCCGTACCTGATGAGCTCCACAGTTTCTGAGTACATGGTATAAGGTGATTTAGCCTCTAGTGGATCTCGCTCCATAGCATTTCCACACTCTATGAAGGAGAGGGCACCGTCCGCGTAGTTCACCGCTTTTCCAAATTTGTCCATCTACAAATGGTGAAGATGAAAAGAAAGAGAGGAGGGACAGACACGGAGACAGAGAGGAGTTTGAAAGAGAGAGGGAGAGAAGATGTGAATAAGACAGAGACAGAATGAGGAATATCTCTTGCAGATGCACAGGCTTCTCTTTGAATAATCTGCTGCAAAAATGCAAATCCCCAGACAAATCTGAGGAAACAATGCGTAAACATAAGATAAATAACAAGCTAAATAAATCTCATTTCATTGTTCAGGGGGGATCAGATAATTCTTTTGATATTGTATAATCTTGCAGACATAATCAGTCCTTGAAAGTAGCGCTCCCTTAGAGACAAATGGTGCAATAAACAACACAAATTCCACTGTACAGTCCCTGAAATGAAATAGATTTTCATTCTACGGACACTCACTGTGCACACACATGAGCAGCAGCAACACACACACACACACACACACACACAC